GGTCCACGGCGAAGAGGGGGTCCATTAGGAGGGGGCAGGAAAATCGTAATTTCACCGTCTACGGGCAAACGTGTACATCGGCGACCGGTGACAATACAAATGTTTCAAACATCGCGCTCCCCAGGAGCCCCCCAGAGGCAACCCCTGCAGGGGTCCCGCCTGCGCGCGCTCGACTCGGTAAGCCCCCCCCCCATGTTTTGATGTTAGAACTTCGCCAGGATGGTAGGAGTCGATGCGTCAACGAGACGACGGCCGAACAGACGACCCCGGCATCATCGGCCTCGCGGGCCACAAACCAGCGGCACAGTCGGGGAGCTCCGCGGCGATGCAAGCGCGGCGGGAGGACAGAGGCCGATCGGAGGAGGGAGAAGTAGAGGATGGCTCACGGCCGCAGATGCGGCGACAGCTGGCGTGAAACACGGCCCGCGCCCCCGCCGCCGTCAACTGCGGCTTCGGATGCGCGAGCCCCTCCTGCAAGGGCAGGGGGCCCACCGCGATCGCCAGCTCACTGCGAGTCTCGGAGTTGACGCACTGCCCGCTCCCGCGGGTTGGAGTCGCCAGCTCTGGCCGCGCGCTCGCCGGCGATGGGCGTCGTCTCGGAGCGCCGCCGCGAAGGCCGCGGCAGGCCGCCAAGCCATCGGATCATGGGGGGGTTGCCTGCGAGCAGGACTGCGAAGGGCCATGGCCTCGGGCTCCGGAGCGAGCGAGGTCGTCGCATCCGCGCGGAGGAGGCCAGCCTGGCACCGCGCCGAAGCTGAGTTGGCCGACGGGCCCCCCGCCTCGGGGAGCTCGCCCCGCTCGCAGCCTCCCGGGGCGGAGCCGGGGGCCAGAAGAGCTTCGGCAGCAGGGGGCGCTGGATCTTTCTGAGGTCCGTCAGCGACGCGGGCAGCTTGGCATTCTAGCTCCGGGCTACGATGGAGCTCCTGGCGCGCGCGGGCGCAGCAGCATGGGCGTCCGCCCGCGGGCGAGCGACTAGCCCGCGCGCTCCTGGAGCTTGGCGAGAGGCGCCTGCGCCCTCAAGGCGCAGCCGCGCGCGCTGCGCCAGGTGGTCGTGGATGGGGCCCCCGCGGGGGTGAAGGAAGCACTTGGCGTCTTTGATCCGCGGGCCCGCTTGCGCCTTCGCCGCCTCGTAGTCGCCGGCGATGGCGCGGCGGCCGCGGCGACCTGGCGCTCCAGCTCCAAGACCGTCGGTGAGCCATCTCGCGCGGCCTCGGCCCCTCGCGTCAAGGCGGGCCCCTACGTCGGGGCTACAGGAGCGAGCTCCCGCGCCGCCGCCGCCAGTGTCGCCCTGCAAGATCCCCGAGCGGACCGAGAAGAGCAGCGGGCGGGAGCGAGTGGCGGCGAAGATCCGCCTGGGAACCGAGTAGGGCCTCCATTTTCTGGAGGGAGTTGAAGGTCCAGACGTGCTCGGCGCTCAGAAAATTTGGCCGTAGTCAAAGAAAGCGACCTGAATTGGCCCGCGCCGCGCCCCGGTGCCCATTCGGGGTCGGCTGGCGGACCAGATAGGGTGCCGATGCTGCGTGCTGTCGCCCCCCGAAAAGTCTGGCGCTCTTCTGGGGCCGGCTGGCGGACCAGAAACGGATCAGATGCCATGGGCCCTCATGGCCGCGATGCGAGAGCAAGCGTCGAACTTGACAATGCTGGAGCAGATTCTGCGGCCGCGCAGGGGGCCTCTTTGCGTCGAGACGCAACGGCGCTCGGCCGCGCTTGTCACGCAGTGGTTGATGGCCCGCGCGACTGCTTTCTTCGAGTTGTCCTCCAGCGATAGTGGCCCGGTTTCCGCGGGGCGCCGCGGGACTTCGCGACGGTCCTCGAGCCGCGCGCGCATGGCAGAGAAGACCGCAACGACGTCGCTCCAACAGCTGCACGTGAGAGGCCAGCCATCTGCCAGTGCATCGCAAGACCAGGGCCCCCATGCCCATCGCGGAAATGAGCTGCGCTTGCGGACCGAGCGCATCAGGCCCAGGGGTGGCGCGGCGAGCCCTCCGAAGAGCAAGAGAGATGGTGGGCTCCGTCGGCAAGGATAAGCATATTCAATCTACATCTTCGATGCCGAACTTGTCAAGAAAGGTCTCCCGCACCTGTCTCTGCCTCTCCTCTCCCTGCGAGGCCGCGGGCCCAAGGGGGCCAGCTGGCCGTTGCGGGGCGCCGTCGGCCCCTGATCGCGGCGAAAGGCCAGGGCGCGAAGCCGACGCTCCGCATCAGATTCCCACGTCGCGGGATCATCGGCATAAAGCCCCACGCCAGTCAGTAGAGAGAGCTTCTACGCCACAGATGCTGTCTTCGCCGCGCCCGGGAGAGTTCGGGCGGCGCCGAGAGCCCCCGAGCCAAGGTGGGGGCCCGCCGCGCGACGCGACGGCGATTGGCGCGCTGTGGTGAAGGCCGCCTTCGCGCGCTCGTTGGGCACCAGATCCACCTCGGCATATCGTCGACGAGCGCGGGCTTGGACGCCGCGATGCTGGGCCAGCCGAGAACAGTGAGATAACTTACCAGGATCGAGCGTTCCCGCCCGCCGCCGAGCGGCAGCTCCAGCGGGGGGTTCGATCGGGGTGACCTGGGATGCCCGCGGGCAGCTGCGCGTCAGACATTCGGCCGGCATCGGGCCCTGCCGCCGCGCCGCGCGCTCCAGCTGCTCCCGCGTCGCGGCCGAGCGGGCCTCGCCGCCGGGGTCACTCCGTAAGTTGGCGCCCCGAGTGGCCGCTGCAATGCGCTGTTAGAACCGCGCATGGAAGTGAGCCCCTGTTCGGGTGGGCAGATGGGGCTCAAGCGGGACAGCCCCCTCGCAGGCCTGCGCCTTGTGTAGCGAGAGAGGCTGGTCGCGGATGAGGTCGGGAATCTGCGGGGCGCTGCCTGAGAAGCGCCGCTTTGGCCTCGGACGGGGAGACAGGCAACTGAGAATATGGCGTGGTCGGCGATCCCCTGCGCGTGCTGCTCATGCGCCTCGCCCTGAACCTGCCCATGCTGCCGCGATTGTGTCAATGCGCATCGACGAACATCAATCCGTATGTTGTCGATCGCGGTGGCGAGCCGCCGGCCCTGGAACCCAGTGGGCGGGCCTGGGCGCGACCATCTCCGCTGGCAGTCGGAGGGCCCGCTGCCGGCGTCGACCGCGGGAGTGGAGACCACCGCGGGGCTCGCCGCCAGGAGCGAGCGGGCCCTCCACCTCAGCTATCTCGCCGCAGTTGAAGCCCCCACGATATGATAACGAACTGAGCGCGAGGGGGCGCCTCCATTCGCTGGAGGTCCGCTCGGAAAGCCCCCGCCACGACAGCAACCTGCTCGCGTGAGAAGTCGTGGCCATGAATGCTCTGGCGCGTCATGGAGTATCCCGCTGTTGCCCTAGCTTCGACGTCAGCGCATGCTCGCAGCACTCTGGCACGAACGAAAGCCCGCGATCGAGGGGCAACTCCAGGACGCGGTCTGAAAGGGACGCCCGTGGCAACGCCTCCAATGGCCTAAAGACCTTCGGGGGGGGGAAGAACGCGAGGAGGAGCAGGAGGCAAAGAACAACTCTGGGTCCTGCATCGGCTTGCCGAACAGCCGCGCGCAGGAACCCAAGAAGCCAATAATCTGGGCGCCCGAACTGCCGCCGTCGTCGGTTCCAACTCCGCGCAGACGGGGCCGAGCTCCTGCAGCGCGGCCGGCGACCAGTGGGCCTGGAGGGTGGCGGCAGGGACGGCGATCGACACCCGCAAAAAGGCTCTCTGCGACACGGTGGGCGAGTAGGCCGTCTTATCCACGAGGATCTCCCTGTCGGCTCCGACCACCATGCCAAGCACCATCGGCAGACGTTTGAACAACACCCCATGCGCCCAACGCTTGCCTGTCTGGTCCGCGCTGACATCGATCGGCACCGAAGGTCCAGCAGCGCGTCGGCTCGGAACTCGCGCCACTGTCCCAGGCGGGCTAAGCGTTTCGTTTGGGAATTCTTCACCATTTGCGATCCTGCACCTTCAAATTGCAACAGCTTCACGGTTGGAGGACAGTTCGGTATGTACTGTAGCGCTGGCCATGCGCCGCGCACATTCGCCTTACACAAAACTGGAGACGCTTCACGGATGGAGGGCGCGCCTCTTTTAAAAGTTGGTGTCGCCGTACCGCCGCGCGCATTCAACTTCAAAGTTTGCAGCAGCTTCACGGGTGGAGGGCGGTTTCTGTTCATTGTGTGGCACTAGCTTTAGCGCCATGCACATTCGCCCTGAAAGTCTGCAGCGATGTCAAACATTCGTATACTAAAAATCCCAGGAACGGTGTTCTGCCGCGATCTAGGACTGTTCAGACGCAACAGTCACGCTTGCTCGTGGTGTCGAAGTCCCAGGAACAGTGTTCTGGCAAGGTCCTGGATTGTCAGGACGCAGCAGGTACCCTCATGCGCGGCGTTGATGCTCCAGACGCGGCGTCGAGTTCCCAAATACTGCGTTGTGGTAAGATTGAGGATGTTCAAACGGATGTCTTCTAATGGGACACTTCCAACAATGAAGAGGATACATTGTGGGGAAATATAAAACAGATATTTGAAGGGAGGCTGTGATGCAACATCGATGTGGCGTCTTCGGCTTGCACTTGTCCTCCTCTTTCTCCTCCTCCTCCTCATCTTCCTCCGCATGCCAATACTCCTCCTGCAGTCCTCTGGTCCTCCTCCTCCTCCTCCTCCTTCTCCTCCTCCTCCTCTGCCTCCGTCTCCTGCCCCCCCCTCCCCGCTCCCCTTGCTCCCCCTGCTCCATCCTCCCTTCCCCTTCTCCTCCTCCGGGTCCCTCTTCTCCTGCTTTTCATCCTCTTCTCAGGCCTTCTCCTCCTTCGCCGACCTCCTGATTATCCTAATTCTCCTCCTGCACTTCTCCTCACCCTCTCGTTGTCGTCGTCCTCTTTCTCCTGCTCATCCTCCCGCCCCTCACCCTTCTCCCACTATTCCTCCTCCGCCTCCCCCCTCCTCCCTCTTCCCGCCATGTTCAATGAATCGTTACGGCGGCCATTACCAGCTTTTGCTTCCCAAGAGGATCCGGGGCGACAGCGAACCAGCGCGCCATGCACGCGAAGTGAAACGCCGCACCGCAGCAGAGGACCATCATGTCGGGCTGCGAGTCCTCACAGGATGGCTACAACCCTTCCTTACTCATCCTCACCCCATCTTAAGTCGTAAGACGAAGCCAGGACGAAGATTCAATCGGGAAATAATAAATCGAGAATCTCTGAGATCCAGCGGCTCTGGAGTATGTCTCAGGCGCCGCGGCCTTCTCAGAGCGTTCTGGAACGCTCTGAAAGCGTTCTGGAATGCTCTGGAACGGATTTATGCTCGTCCTGGCCCCCTCCGGCTGATCCCATCTTCCCCGTGCTCTCCCGTTTCTGCTCACCCATCCGGCTCATTCCCCTCCCCCTCCTCCCCCTCTTCAGCCACCTCCCTTTCTGCTCCACCCCCGCCTCGCACGGCCGGAACGCCCTCTGCGAGGCGCAGCTGCTGGAAAACAGCCCGAGGCGGGGGGGGAGCCCAAAGGACACGCAAACAACACCCGAAACCCTCCCAGGGCGACAACGACGAGAAATGAGGGGACCCCAATGCTCAACAAAAAACGCTGCCGAAAGCCTCACGCGGCGACGCCGACGACGACGAGGATTGACGGCGTCCCTTGAGCATCGGATTGCCGTTCCCCACACGAACTAGCCCCTCGGCCCGCTGGCCGACTCACCACCCTCGGTGGGGATGTAATGCTGTTACCTCCGGGGCTTCGCGGGGCCTATCCCGACACTAGGAGGCGGGCTGGTGGGGCTGAGATACAGCCGAGGCGCGGAAATAAAGACCCCCTCCTGGGCTCGAGAGGGGCTCTGGCTCTGGGGCCGTTTCTAGGACCAAGTTGGGGGACCTCTTGGTGAACGAAGCTCGCCGTGGCCAGAAAAGCCTCAACGTTCCTCCTCCTCCTCCTCTGCTGCCTTCGCATCCTCCTCCTCCTCCTCCTTCTCCTCCTCCTCCTCCTCTTCTGCTACTTTCTCCTCCTCCTCTTCCTTTGCTGCTTTCTCCTCCTCCTTCTCCTCCTCCTCCTCTGCTGCTTCCTCATCCTCCTCCTCCTCCTCCTCTTCCTCCTCCTCCTCCTCCTCCTCCAGTGTGGGGATCGAGCAGGCGATGTCGAGCCCTCGCGGCGTCCAGGCAGATGGCGCACTCGCCCTCCCGCGCCTGGGAGCGGGCGAAGCCGATCGCCTTGTCCTCGCGGGAGGACTCCTGGGCCTTCACGGCCCGGTCGGCCCGCCGCTCGACCTGGAAGAGGAGGAGGGGGGAGAGGAGGAGGAAACGGAGGAGGAGGGACTGGAGAAAGAAGAGGGGAAGGAGAGGAGGAGGATGAGGAGGAGGAGGAGGAGAAGGAAAAGGAGGAAGAGGAGGAGTAGGAGGAGGAGAGGGAGAATGGGGGAGGAGGGAGAGGGGGAGGGGGGGGCAAGCCAGGTGCGCTCGCGCCACATCCGACATGCTACCCCTCCCACCCATCCATTTCCACTTCGCTGTGCTGTCTCTATCCGCCGACGCGTGTCCTAGCGAACCCGGAAGGACCCCAACGTGTGATGCGCAATCGGAAAAAAAGGAACTGCGTACAACCGGAGGAGGTAGCGGATGATCCGGAGGATGACCAGAGCAAAAACGAGGATGAGGACGAAGAAGGACGAGGACGAACAGCAGCAGCAGGAGTTGGAAAAGGAAGGAGCGGGAGGAACAGGAGGACGCGGGGAAGGCGGAGCAAGGGGCGACAACTATGACAGATGATTCAGGTCCGAAAAATAGTGAGCTAAGCTGGGGAGAGAGCGCCAGTCTGAACGACGGGCAAAAACCGATCCAAAAATGGGGCCCACGCTGCAGCGCGAGTCGGAATGTAGCACACACCAGAAGAAAGGCACAACTCTCCAGCTCCTCGATTAAAAACAATACGCGGAGAGGGCCGAAGATCTTCCGGCCGGGGTCAGGGGAGATAGGCGCGTAGTAAACAAGATGTGTAATTGCGGAGGGGGGAGAGGAGGGATGGGGAAGCGGGGGGAGAGAAGGGTGGAGAGAGGTGGGGAAGGGGGAGAGGGGGAACGCCGAACTGGGCGCGGTCGCGCCGTACAGGAAATTCTACACATCCCGCCCATCCCTCTCTATTGCGCAGGACTCCCCTCTATTCCCCTGGATGGGATGGGGGGTCCTGGAAAACCGTACTGCCCCGAGAAGTTTCATCGAGTGATGCACAATCAGAAAGGGGGGCTTCGTACAGTGGGGGGTGGGGAGATGTCGGATGAGCAGGAGGATGAGCAGGAAGAAGAGGACGGCGTGGAAGAGGGAGGTGGAGGAAGGCGAGCAGCAGCACGAACAAGAAGAGCAGGAGGAGCGGACGGAGCAGGAGAGGTCAGGGGAAGTCGGAGGAGTGGAACAGAAGGGGGCGGCAGCGGCGAGCAGGGGCTCGGAGCTAACAGCGTGGCGCGGGCCAGGGCGGGAGGGCAGGGTCCCGAGCGAGGGGAGCACAGCACCGATCCTGACACGTGGGCAGCACTGCACTGAACCGAGCTGAACTGAGCACCGTGCGCCAGGCGGCGCATTGGCCATTCAAGGTTTTCATATGTACTGCGGCTGGCTGGTGAAACGATGGCAATATGTGAAAGCAAAGGGAATCCCACTCTCACAATTCTGGAGGTTTGATGAAAGAGTTGTAAAGTTGATCGACGCGTTGAAGCATGGACTGGCAAATTGAAGAGCGCTTGTATTGACAAGTTGCAACATAAAAAGCAGGCAGCTTAGGGAGGCGGCGGCAGTTTCGCACACGATCAGGGCCGAGGGCCCGATATTGCGCACAACGACTAGTTGTGGAGGAGCGGGATAGGGGCGGGGAGTTGTGGGGGGGGGGGGGGGGCGGGGCGGGGAGGGGGAGAGAAGGAGGATGGAGGATGAGTGGGGCGAGTGCGTGGCGCGGGGGAGAGGAAGGGAAACAGGCAGGAGAGAGGAGAGGGGATGCCGATGGGGGAGGAAAGGAGGAAGAGAGGGGAAGGGGGAGGAGACGGGGGCTGAGGTGGCGGTAGGCAGAATGGGAGAGGGTGGGGCGGGGCACAGAGAGGGAAGAATCCAGACGAGGATGAATATGTGAAGGGGGAGCTAAGGCAGCGTATAGGGATGGAACGGAGGGGATAATGATGAGGATTAATATGCTGAGTGTTGAACTTGGGAATGCTGCAACGTTCGCTACAATAAGCGGCCTGGCGCTACGCAAGATCGCCTATAGGAAGCACTGCCCTAGACCAGGGGCAAAGACGCTGTTACTTCGACCTCATATTCTTCGAACTGCCTCTGCGCGGGCTACTACTACGATTTATGAACTTGCGTTCGCCACTGTGCTTTCTACGACTGCGGCTGCAACAACGTTGTATACTTCCAAACGGTTCGGGAGCCGCTGCATCCAACTGCGGCTCTCCCACTTATTAGTCCTGTCCCTTCCCCTTGCCCTCTACAGTAATTTAAATATCAAGCAGACGACAACAAAAACGATGCACAACGCAAGGCGAGCCATCCACAGCTAACAAACATCACCAGACAAAAGGGAATATCCCAACGTCAACACTCGCAACGGACCAACAAACCGATGCGCAACGAATGCTGCAGCTGCCAACAACGCCACCGCCTTCAACATTTGCCAATACCACTACTACTAATGCTAACCTTGCGGCTATCTATCAAACCGAAGCTATTACCGTTCAAATCTGCACGACTGGTGCTCTAAGTATGACGCCCGCAGGTAACAGCAGGAGGAGTAACAGAAGGTGTGCAGACAGATCCCTCCACCCTCACCCACAAGACGAAGCAGAAGGTCGACAATGAGATGGAACACGCACGGCGCCTCCCGCATGCCTTCCCGAAGTGGGACGAGGGATGAGGAACACGAGGAGGACGATTGGGGACGTCCGGTGCCGCTGAAGCGCTGAAGGCGGCCACAGGCGCGCCCCTCCCTGGCCAACCACCCGCGAAGAGGAAGGCGGAATTCTGGCTGTGATGCGAAAGGGACGCTCCATTGTGCTGCTGTCATCACACTGTCCTTCGACACGCACGTGCGCATGGCTCTCCAACGGCAGGGTGGGTATGCCGCCAGATGCCTCTCGGACGCGGCGTGCACATCAGGTGCCAACGGGAACGGCGCTCGAGCACAACCGTCGAACTACGTTTCGGCAAACGCCACTGGCTTTTGAACGCCCACCACCAGCCCAGAATGGGGCGGTGGGCCCCCCCTTCCACTCCTTTCGCACCCCTCCTGGGCGAATAGCTCGGGCGTTCGAGCTCGACGCTGCGCTCTCTCCCCGCTGCCCGACCTCACACCTCCCGGCCTCGCGACAGCTCGGCGGCCACCGCCTGCAGCTTGTGGAAACCGGCTCCCCCTCAAAGACCAGACCGCACTGCACCCAGAGGCATCCCAGATAGGGCCAGAGTTGATGGGGTCGGAGGACCGCGCCGCATCGCCGACACATCGGCGATGTATCGGCGATGCATGGGCGACGTCGTCGTGGAGACAATCGGGCTCCACATCGAGCCGCATCGCCAATACATCGTCGATGCGGCGTGATCCTCTGACCCTACTTATTCCGACCCCATCTGCGAGGCCTAGAACACTGGCCCCCATGTGTTCCGAGGTGTTCCGGGGGCCAAAGGGACTCCTTTTCCCTCCTCTTCCTCCTTGCTTGCTCTCTATCCTCCATCCTCCTCCACCCTCCTCCTCCTCCTCCTCCTCCTCCTTCTCCTCCTCCTCCTCCTCCTCCTCCTCCTCCTCCTCCTCGTGCACCACTTCCACCACCACCACCACCACCACCACCACCTCCTCCTCCACCTCCTCCTCCTCCTCCTCCTCCTCCTCCTCGTCCTCTTCCTCCTCCTCCTCCTCCTCCTCCTCCTCGTCCTCGTCCTCCTCCTCTAGCGGGGGTCAAGCATGAGGGGAGCAGAAGGGGGTGACCAGAAGGAGGGGGGGAGGGGGGCGGAGCAGGAGGAAGAGGGGGAGGAGGTGGACATCGAGGACGAGGCTGCCGAGGAGGAGCGCAGAGGGAGGAGGAGGAAGGAGGTCGATGGGGGAGGCCGAAGAGCAAAGGGGGCTACTGTCTGCCCCGGGTCGCCCAGCCGCCTCCTCCCACGCGGCGGCCACGGCGGCGGCCACCAGGGCCGCCAGAGGCTGCGAGTCGTCCTTGCGGGCAGCCAGGCGCACGCGGGCAGCAGCCACCTTCTCCCTTTTCCACCCTCCTCCTCCAACCTCCCTCTCCCCGTTCCCCCTTCTCCTCCCCCCCTCCCCCTCCTCGTCCTCCCCCTCCTAAAGAGTCCTCCCGTAATCCACCTTCTCCACCTCCCAACCCTCCTGTCCTCCCCTCCTCCCTCTCCTCCCTCCTCCTCCTCCTCCTCCTCCTCCTCCTCCTCCTCCTCCCTCTTCCTCCTCCTCTCTCCCTCCTCCTCCTCCTCCTCTCCCTCCTCCTCCCCCTTCCCCCTCTTATCCTCCTCGCCCTTCTCCTCCTCTGTCGTGCGCCCCTTCTGCTTCTCCCCCCTCCTCCCCACTCCTACTTTCCTTGCTCCTCCTCCTTAATGCTTGTTCTTCCAAACATCTCATTCCTGTCGCACCCCGAGGCCGGTCGGAAGGGCGGGCCGGGCGTTTTGCCTGACCCGTCCGCACTGCTTATGACCCTGGAGGTTGAGCGTTGACAGCAACTTCACATATGGAGGGCGGCACGCTTTCAACATGTTGCTATCAGCTTAGAGCCGCGCACATTCGTTTTGGTTCAAGCATGTGCAGGAGTTTCACTCATTGAGGGCGGTCCGTTTTCAAAACCTGGCTCTCGCCAAAGCGCCGCGCACATTCGTCTTACAAATTTGCAAGGGCTTCACAGATGGAGGGCGGCCCAATTTCAACATGTGGCTCTCGCCTTGGCGCCGAGCGCATGTATTAAAACTTGAACGCAACTTCACGGACGGAGGGCTGGCCGAATTTCAACAGGTGTCTCTCGCCTTGACGCCGAGCGCATTCGGTTGTAAAAGTTGCAAGCGGTTCGAAGATTCTGATGGTTATCGTCCCCAGAATGGTGTCTAGGAGAAGCGTCGGATTGCCAGGGCGCCGTAGTTACCTTGACTCGCGGTGTTGAAGTCCCAAGATTGGTGCTCTGGCACGCCTCCGGAACGTCAACACGCAACAATAAGGTTAATTCGTGGCATTGAATTCCCAAGAATGGTGCTCTGCCTGGCACGGTTCAATATGTTCACACTGTTGTCTTCCAAAAGGCATGTCTCTCATTGGAATTGTATCCGTGCATGGGGGCTTATGAAAAGGGAGCTTGGAGGAAAGACTTGGGTATGCACTGGTACCCCTCCTCCTCCTGATCCACGTCTTTCCGCAACCTCATACGGCCTTCCTCCCCAAAGGAGGAGGAGGAGGAGGAGGAGGAGGAGGAGGTCAGCGTTTCACAAAGGGGCCGCGCAACCTCCACATCACCCCCCCCTCTGTCCCAACGCATGACGAGGCTGGCGTTTCGCAAGGCGCCCGCGCTGCCGCCATGTTTTCCTGTTCCTCCTCCTCCTCCTCCTTTTCCTGCTCCTGTTCTTCCGCGTCTTCCTCCCCCCAAAACTCTTCTCAGTCGTGCCCATCCCCCGTCCACAAGGCACGGGTGGGTGCAACACCTCCACGCGCCCTGAGGGAGCCTGCGTCTGCTCACAACGACCCTGTGATTGGGGTGGGCGGGTGCCCATCCGGCAGCACGCTCGTGTCGGGCACTCGGGCCACACCGCCCTGCAAACGGACGGGCGGGCGATGTAGGGGTCGCACGACATACCCCGCACGGTGGTCAAGCGGGGGAGTCCAGTGCCACTGACCTGAAAAACGGGCGGGTCACGAGGGACGGCGCGCGCGGCGTCGTTGTTTGAGCGCGGGCGGTGGAGAGCACCGCGGGCGTGAGACCGCGTGCAGGACTCCGCGGTAAGGCATGCGCTGATATCACTTGTTGCAGGGGTCTTGGGTCAGAGAGGGCTTGGGCCGTAGGCCGGGGTGAGTGCCCCGTCCACTGCTGCTGCTTGGCCCAGCCCCACCATCAGGATCGCTTTGGGGCGCCACATGGCCTTGGAGAGATGAGCTGCTGCAGGTTCTCTTGAAAGCGGGCCGTCATGCAGCGGCGGGGTGCTCTTGTTGGCGCACGGATGAGGAGCGTGATGGTCCTTTTCTTGTTCAGAATAGAACTGATGATGGGCTGGTACCTGCTGCCAGGAGAGCCCTGGCTGATTCGCCAGGAGAGCCCTGGCTGATTCGCCTCCTCCCCCTGCCCAACTCCCCTCGTGTCTCCTCTTCCTGCCCCTTCCTCTCTCCCCCTCCTCCCTCTGCCCCCCCCCCCCCTCCTGCCCCGCCATTCCTCGATTCCCCTCCTCCCCTCCTCTCCTCCTCCTCCTCCGCCTCGTCCTCCTCCTCCTCCTCGTCCTCCTCCTCCTTCTCTTCCTGCTCCTCCTCCCTCCCTCCCTCCCTCCCTCCCTCCCTCCCTCCCCTCCCCCTTCCTCCCCCCTTCTCTTACTCGCCCTCCCTCTTCGCTCTCTCCCCCCCTTGCAACTCCTGGCCAGGGCGGCTCTGCTCCGCGACGCCACGCCAAGCGGCCTGCCGCTCCGCAGAGCCGAGGAGCACGACTGGGAACGGCACCCCGCAGTAGCGCAGAACCTGGCAGCGAGCGGCAGTGAGGGCGGCGGCGAGGGAGGGCGGCGGCAGCGGAGGGCGGCGAGGGAGGGCGACTCCTCCTCCTCCTCCTCCTTCTCCTCCTCCTCCTCCTCCTCCTCCTCCTCCTCCTCCTCCTCCTCCTCCTCCTCCTCCTCTTCCTCCCCCTCCTCCTCCCCCTCCCCCTCCCCCTCCCCCTTCCTCCCCCTCCTCTTCCCTCCTCCTGAGGGGGAGAGCGAGTTTCTTCTCCACGAGCTTCTCGGGAAGGCGGCGTGGGAGGGCGGCGACAGGGGCGGGCGGTGACCACGGATGGCAGCAAAGAAGGGCGAGGACGGCGAAGCCGTCGAGGAGGAGGATCAGCAGGAGGAGGAGAAGGAGGAGGTGGAGGAGGAGGAGGAGGAGCAGCAGGAGGAGGAACAGGAGGAGGAGGAACAGGTTGAGGAGGTTGAGGAGGAGGAGGAGGAGGAGGAGGAGGAGGAGGAGGAGGAGGAGGAGGAGGAGCGAGGAGGAGCGAGCGAACAAGCAGAAGGGCGTCCGAGTGTACGGACGCCCACCGCGCGTGAGACCTAAGGGCGGCGAAAGCCTTGGAGAGGGCGGGGCGCCCCAAGAAAACCACACGCCCCCCCCAAACCCCCTATGGCACAAGAAACGGAGCCACACCATGCGGGGCAGAGCACGGGGCAAGCCGTCCCGAAGCGGGCCCACGCTGCCCTGGTTGCAGCCTGCGTCTTCTCCGATCTGTAGATTTGAGCTGGTTGCGGCGCGTTGAGCCTCTATCAAACAAACAAGGAAATACTGCGACCGCAACCTGCGGGCGGATCGGAAAGACTCTGACCTGTTGGAGCTGCCACCACACCCTCGGCGGCAGAACACAGAATTCATGTAGGAAACAGCATGCCCCGATTCAGCGAACTCGGCCAGTACCGATGGGGGGAACGCACCTCCGAAGCCCCCGAAGGCTCCAGCGGCTGGGAAGGGCCCAAATCGGGACCCGCTTGAGGCTCAGGGCCGAGAGTGGACGGACCCCAGAAACCCATCGGTACACTCACGAGCCGCCGCGACCCTCACACCTACAGGCCTGTCCCGGGCCTCCGTACGGCACGCGAAGACATCCTCGGTCAGCCTGGTGACAAGGTTCGCGGAGTCACACGCCCGATCCGAACCAAACCTCAACGTAGCCAACGAACTCGGAATGCGGGCGGTGCGGTTACATCGACGGCAACGATATTATGTCTACACGTGGTCTTGGGGCCTCTCGGAAACAACACATTTGGGTACCGCCGGGGGAATCCACTCCCCACTTCTGAAACTGCACAGCCAGAAGCACAGCCCAGGATACATAATGCAACCCCGGCTTGTGCTAATTGAGCGCCTGGGTGACGATGTCAGCTAAAGTTTCTGCCGCCACGTGCGCGGCAGAGGGCGAGGACGGCGAACCCGCCGAGTAGGAGGAGGAGAAAGAGGTCCTCCTCCTCCTCCTCCTCCTCCTCCTCGTCCTCGTCCTGGTCCTCGTCTGCATCCTCCTCCATCTCTTCTTCTTCGAGCTCACGAAGAGGAGGGTATCATTCATTTTCCTCGAGCTCATCACTGGGAGGAGGATGACCACGACGAGGACAAGTGACGAGGAGGTGTGATGGCATCCTGGGACGAGAGGGGGGAGGATTCCCTGGGAGAGCCCTGGCAACCACAGTGTGGCCACCCATCTAACCCCCCCCCGACGCGACCAGCCCGCAACTGCAAAGGCGGCCAGGTGGAAGACGCCATCGGTCACGTCCTCCAATATGGTCGACAACATCGCGTCGACCTGATGCTGCCCTCACTGGCAGAAGCTGGGACTGTGGCAACCCTTTCCTCATGATGATGTTCAAGCGCTCCAACCACTTCGAGTGCATCAAGTGATTGCCCGAGTAAGGGCATGGTGTGCAAGTACGGCGAGATCGAGGACACAAGAACGTCCTTCAAAAACGTGAGAGCCCCCGCCTGCTAGACCGAAGAACACTCGAGGGCATCCCCTTGCTCATGCTGCAGAGGAATACGCAACAAACAAGACGAATATTAGGGTACCCTCCCCGAACCGACCTCGATCTTACACCTCGGTCCAACCGTACCTGCTTCAAACGTTGCTGCAGCTCTTTCGCTGCGTGCGTCTCTACGCCGGCGCTGTCGTAAGCAGCGGCGCGGGCCCATCCACGGGCAAGCACTATCACCCGTGAATTTGCTCCCGCGGGGCTCGCGAGGCTGGCCACCCAGAGCCTCAGGGCCCATCTCGAGGGCCACGCCATTCTGGCAGCCCTCGGCCATAGGTGCATTCTTGATGGCTGCATCGTTCCTGCCGTCCTCGGGGACATTTACACGCCTCCCGCCTAAGCCCATGGGGGCGACATTCAGGGCCCCACCCGCTTCATCCTCGTATTCCTGCTCATGCTCCTCTCCTTCCCCTGGGTGGCCGCACACGGAGTGGCCGCCCCGCTGAGGCTGCAGCGGATCCTCGCCAAAAGCGGGCCGCGAGGCAGCCAAAATGACATCGACCTCAGCCACACTTTCGTCCTCCTCATCCTCTCCGTCCCTCTGGGCCCGCACTCGCCATCTCTCACAGAGCGAATGGGAGGCTGCTCCGTGGAGATGTTGTTGAAGGGCTGCGCGTCGATCTTGTTCCAATCGATGCTGCGCACGGCCCCGCAGTCGTCGCCGCCATTGGCAAGAAATGGCATACAGTGAGCGACGACTGCTCTCGACTGCATGCCGAACGCGTCAACAACTGTCCCCGCGCAAGTCTCCTCGGAATTACCAACTTTGTCGTTCATTGCTTGGCAGTGTGCTCGTTGCGCCCCCGCTCCAAAAAGGCAATGCGGAGCTGTTCTCTCATAAGCACCGCACTGAGGCGCAACTGATTGCGCTTAACCGCCCCGATACGCAACATGCAACCCGTAGAATGTTGACACGGAGGTTGACACGTAGATTGAAAACGTACGTTTCGCGCGATGCGTTCGCCAAAATGTGGGCCAACATGCTGAACAAACACGCAACGTTTTGACACGGACGTATTGAGCACGGTACGTGTTGTGTATGAACTCGGGCGTATCGAGGCAGATGCGAGGTTGCGAGTAATGATGTCCGAAGCGGCGTCGCCAGCGAGACCCGCTGGCGAGGCCAGGGTGCTGGGGATCTGGTCCGCACCGCTCGAACTGCAGCTGTTGACGGCCGCAAAGGAGTAGTCGACGCTGGTGCCGACACTGCTACCGGCGGGACAACGAGGGAGGAGGACGCTGGAAGAACGAGACGGGGATGACAGGAACAGGGGGAGAGTGGCCACTTCGGCGCTTGCCTCCTCCCCACTCCTCCTCATTAATCCTCCACTTCTTCATCCTCCTCCACTCTCCATCCCCGTCCGCATTCTCATACTCCTCCATTCTCCATCCCCCTCCGCATTCTCATACTCCTCCATTCCTCACACTCCTGCAGTCCTCATTCCCCCACCTCCTCCTCTTCCTCGTCCGACGACGACGACAACGACAACGACGCCGACGATGCCACCGGCGACGACGCCGCAGACGGCGATGATTACGACGCGCAGGGCAACCGCAACGACGGCGACGATGGCGGCGACGGCGGCGGCGTTGGGAGCCCAATTGATGAGGAGGCGCGCGAGGCGGGCGTTGCCCCTGGCGAAGGGCCGGGTCGCGAGGACGTGGTGCCCCGCCCACGCCGCCTTCGCGTGGGGCGTGACGTCCTGCAAAGGGGTTATGTTGCATCCTCGAGGGACCTTGTCCGTCCCGCCGCGGCCCTATGCGCGTCGAATCCGTGTCGAATGCATGTCGGCCTCGACGGATCCGTGTCGATCCGTGTCGCATCCGCGTCGGACCCTCGGCGAAGCCGCGTCGAGTCCGCAATAAACCCGCGCCGGGCACAAGACACGACACCAACTTACAGGCGAGGCCGCCCGAAGATGCAACGTGAAAAAGGGGCAGGGGGGCCATATACCAGATCAGCGATCAGAGGAGAAGCGGAGACCACCAACATCGAGAGCACACAGTTTGGGGGACCCTCCCCATGGGCGGCGGCACGCTTCGAGCGTCGTCTGGTACGAGGGGGACGCTCGGGCGGGCCGCCGCCCAGGGGTCGGCCCACCCAGACGGCTTCTCGGTGGCGCGGGGGACGGGACGGGGGGGGGGGGGGGCGATCTGGGCTTGGAGAGACTTGCCCTCGAGTGGAGATCCGCAGCCAGTTGCTGAGAGCCCTCTTTTTTTGGTATGGTCAGGATCTGCTGCCCCGGAACCTTTTGGCAAACGGAGAGGGAGCAGCTGGCACGCAGGAAGCGCACGAGGCCCTCCCGGTATGCACGAGACCTCCCGGTATACACGACTGGCTCGACTGGACCCAGAGGCTGTTCCAAGACGCCACACCTCCACAGAGAACCCCCCACCCCACCCGCACCCCCGCCCGCCCCACCCCCACCCCCCACTTCCCCCCCCCCCCCCACTCTCACAGGGAGGGGGGAGTCCAGGTCGAACCCCCCCCCAATGCGGCCTGCACGAAACCCCTTGGTAAAGGGACGTGTGTGGGGGGGTTCTGAGCCGTCGGCGGCACCCGGTGCGGCCTGCGCGAACCCCCTCGGTAGTATTGGGGGGGGGTCGTGCCACGGGGCGCCGCCGACATATATATATATATATATATATATACATATAAATATACATACACACAGGCATACAGACATACATACACACATACATGCATGCATGCATGCATGCATGCATACATACTTACATACATGCATGCATACATACATACATACACATATATTTACACATACATACATGCATACATACGTACTTACATCGTACATATATACATACATACATACATACATACATACATACATACATACATGCATACATACATACATACATACATACATACAGACATACATGTATACATGCATACATACATACATAAATGCACACATACATATATACACACACATGCACACATACACACATATATATATATATATATATATATACATATATGTGTATGTATATATGTATGTATATAAATGCATCGCCTGGTCGCTCTCCTCACTTACCAGATAATGGTTTTGTATCGCGAGGCGAGCGCGAAGGCACCACATCGGGACCGCCGCTGTCAACACTCAGACTGCAATAGAAAAAAGGACTGGAGAGCGAACGACTCTGAGCACCTGGACGCAAGCACCCGATCCCGCACAGGAAACCTGGCCAGAGATGGCCGCATTACAAGCCCAATGGACGACTTTTCAGCCTATGAGTTTCCAAATTCTCAGCGGCATGGGCCATGGATGTAGCGGCAGCGGCGGCAAACCCGGCAGGAGAAGGCGTGGCAGAACTAGTCCACTTGCGCCTTCCAGGCGTGTTCCCAGAGAGTTCGATGCGACGTTGTTCAACTCATGTTACAAAGACCGCGCTTGTTTGAACATCGCTTGCAGATGGATAACGGGCTGCCGCCATGCCACACCGAAGCTCTGGCTGCCTTCTTCCAGGGGGCATGCTACTGACAAAACAACGCAGCAGGCGTGAAACAAAAACAGGGCTACGCATGCAATCTTTCATCTGTTCGGTCCACCACGTTACCGACGTTCTGGGATTATCGAGAAAGACTGGTATGTTTAATGTGATGCACAATTGGATCAACGTGATACTGACCAAAAACGTGGCGTTCCCAATCCGCAATCGTTCAAACTTAGCTTCAGCTAGATCTGAGACGCCGAACGGGGACGAGCTGCTGCGAAGAGGACGCCGCAACGCACGAGTCCAGGTGGCACAGGGTGTGCCAAGCCAGAGTGATGCAATACATCCAGAGGCCAGCCTACCGATAATCGTTTTCTGGAATGTCGGATCGAGATGATCCTTGCGAGCATGCTTGAGTAGATCAAATGGGACGGCACGATCACCGAGCTTCCTGATCTCCCCCGCGATTCTGCCACTGCCTGCAAATAGGTCCGACAACACAAGATGTCTCATGAACCTGGGTCGAGGCGCATTGCTGGCGCGAAGTCGTCCCTTAGGTGGCCCGTGGGTTTCCCTTGATTGTCCCATTCATTGTCTCGTGGTTGTCCCGCCAGTTGACCCATTGGTTGTTCTCGGCTTGTTATGCGACCGCGGTTTGTCCAGTGAATGGTTGTCTCGTGGGTTGTCCATCTGTGGGTCGATGAGATGTGCCGCGACGGCCCCACGGGGTTGAGGACGCTCGACGACTCGGTGCTGGCGCAGCAAGACGCTGGATGTCTTACCGGGGCAGGCGGAGGAGCAGCGCAACATGAACGAAGATCTCCAGATGGCTCCCGCGGACGAGTCGAAGCACTCAGACCCGCGGCAGAGGCCCGTGCAAGGACAAGCCCGCCCATGGCACGCAGACGGGCAACGACGAGTGGCTCGAGGAGGCTGGCCGTGGCCGTGGTGCTGACCGACGCCTCTCCGACGGACAGCACGGGCGGCGGGCCCGCTCGCCGACGCCCGGCGCGGAGCCACCCAGTCGGGCACCCCTGGGAGCTGCGCGGTGCGGCTCGCAACCGGCCCAGGCGAGGCCGCCACGCCGCCACCACACGGAACGCGTCTCCTGGGGATGCGGTGGTGCGCCTCCGAAGGGGTCGTGGAAGCTGGCCACGGCCACCGATTGCGCTCTTTGCCAGCTTCCTCGGGCGTGAGGTGTGGGGCCGATGGAGCAAGAGATCTTGCCGACCCACAGCTTCAATCTCACACGGAATCCATTCTGGGTGTTGGCTGCGGGGGTTTTGCTATGGCGGTGTAGCGATGTCATCGTTGGCGTGGCTCTCGACGGTGTTGCCTTCGGTGCTTCGCGCCGTGTGTGTGTGTTTGCAAAACGCAGAGTCCTCCCTAGGATCCTCCTCCTCCTCCTCCTCCTCCTCCTCCTCCTCCTTCTCCTCCCCATCCTCCTCCTCCTCTTCTGCCTCCTCCTCCGCCTGTTTCGCCTCCTTCTCCTCCTCCTCCTCCTCATCCTCCTCCTCCTCTTCCTTCTACTCCCTCTCTCACTCCCTCCCCCATTTGAAACCTCGAGAGCCCCACTCACAACTAGTCCGAATCACCTCTAAAACATTCGACACCTTCAAAAACCTTTCGGAACCTACTCCTCCTCTAGGAGGAAGGGGTTTCTTAGGCACGGTGAAGGAACGCGGAAGAAAGGAGAAGGAGGAGATGGAAGAGGAGAACAAGGAAAAACAGTTCTTTCGCAAAGGGGTGAGAGGGGGAGGAACAGGGAATAGGAGAAGAACGAGGAGGAGGAGGAGAAACATGACCTCGGGACAGCGGAGGTGGAGGGGGAGGAAGAGGACGAGGAGGAGGACCTCCTCCTTCTCCTGCTCCTGCTCCTCCTCCTGCTCCTCCTCCTCCTCCTCCGCCTCCTCATCATCATCCCATCGCGTCCTGCCGGTTCACGATCTCCCTCAGCGCCTCGGCGAAGTGCGCCAGCCTGCTGGCGGCCTTGCAGGCGGAAGGGTCCAACTGATACCGCCCGCAGCTGCCGCTGTCGTGGTCGTCGTCGCCAGCGTCAGAAACAGCGTCGCCGTAAGACGCATCGCCGCCGCCGCCGTCCAGGAGAGGGACGAGGAGGGAGGAAAGGGAGGGAAGAGGAAGAGCTGGACGGGCAGGGGGGGAAAGATCGAGACGAAGAGGAGGAGCAGGAGGAGAGACGGAAGGAGGAAGCCGAGGACAACGACGAGGCGGAGGGAGGAGACGAGGGCGAAGGAGGAGACCAGCGTGGCTGCGAAGGAGAAGGAGGAGGAGGAGCAAGGCCACGACGATCATAATCTCACTTCCATGCGCCAGCGCGCGTGGGCCACAGAATACTTGTATGACAAATGCCACGTCGTACGTAGATCGAGGGGCCCCAGGACACACAAATAAATACACACAAATAAAAAGATCCCCCCATATTTTCCCATATTTTCTGGGTTTCTGTCTTCCCCCCCACTTCCCATATTTTCCCATATTTTCTGGGGAATCGAGGATTAATTGTGTCTGTGTGTTTCTTTCCCTCCTGAGTAGATCTCGGCACACAGATAGGACAGCGCACGTAACCGAATGGAGCTGTTCACACGGACCCTGGCAGATGACGGGAGGGGCGGGGAGCAGAGCGGGGAGCGTGCGCCGGACAGCAGCAGACGGTCCACTCCTGCAGCGCCAATCGCAGATCTGGGATTCTGAAGAACTGCTCGAGGTGTCGCGTACTATCCAGACCTCGGCGCACAGCTCGGATACTATAGCGACATCGGTCGAGCTAGACACACGCATCCAAACACACGGAGGCCTTCATTTCGCCGCTCTCATGGTCAGCCTATGCAGCTGACCGCGCAAAAGTAGATACAGCATGACACCCCTCATGACGTGCAAGCATGTCCAGACATTACCGCTGCATGAGAGCACTCAAAATGACTTACGCGGCAGGTACGTTTGCAGTCAGAAAGCTGAGGCAGCAAACGCGTGGCGTGCATCCCGGTTCACTCGGGGGTTCGTAAGTGCAGCGAGCATGCTTGCAACCCGTAGCGTATTAACGATCGGCCCGGAACTGCTGGTATTGCTCTGAGCTAAGAGGGCGATCGAGCAGCAGTGTACGAGACGCCTACACTGATTTGTTGGACAGGCCCCTGCGAGCTTGGTATAAGCCAAGCCGTGGATATTCTTTCCCTCGGTCTGCATTCGAGGAAAATTGAACCTGGAACCCACACCTCGGCCGCAGCAGTGTTTCACAGCAGGCTCGGCGTCGACATTGGCCGTTCTGAAACTGGTGCGCTTTCGCCAGGGCGTATCAACCATGAAGAAATCAATGCAAAGAGCGCCAGGCCCGATGGGCGTATTCTGAGCAACGCTGAAACTGTAACAGAACAGACGCGTCTGGAGGACTCCTGCTGCTCCGCGCTCCGCCCTCAAGATGGGCACGCAAAACCACTCTTGAAACGCTCGAAGGGGGAGGTCAGGCATTTTGACATGCTGAACTTCCAAGCCGACGATCGGAATTCCCTGGAGGCGGGCGTGCTGCCGCCAGGCGGCGCCCCAGCGTCCTGCGCAGGAGGCGGGGTCCACCAGGTAGCCCCCCGCCGACGAAGTCGCCCGCGAGGCACTGGCGGGTCAGCCCGGCATCGCTGGTGCTGGAACCCGCTGCTCAGCCGAACCATCTGCCCGGCGCACATGCGCTGGGAGGCCGAGGGACCTCGGCGGCGATGCCTGGGCCAGTGCTTGTCTGCGATGGCGGGAGCGCCTGAGGGCGCGCGATCCTGCGGGACCTGCGCTGCGTTTGCGGCAGCCGCATCGCGCAGCTCCCCAAAGTACCCTTCTAGGGCGCTCCGCGCGGGGCGTCGGCGACGTTCCCGTCAAAACAAGCGCCGGGAGGACGTCCACGAGCTGGTTGGCACGGCCGCCCTTCTCGTAACGCACCACGACCCGCCCAGTGAGCCACCCGCCGCGGTCCTGGATGGACCTGATGCCCCCAGCCCCCATCGTCGCGTCGTGGGACGCCCTGCCCTGGCGCAGCATGTGCAACGCCAGCGTGAGCTCATCGGCGACGCCGACGGCCTTCGCGGCCGCTTCAAACTCCAAGGCACTTCTGCGGCAGGTGAACGGGAACGCCAGGCTCTGGCTCCCGCTCCCGCGCAACCGCGCGAGCGACCGCGCCACGAACGGGAAGTCGGTCACGTTGTCCACCAACACCGTCTCGTCGCGGGAGCCCGCCCTTGACATGGCCGATTCCGGAAACCCTGAAAACCAAAAAAGGTTGCCATCTCTTGGGCGGAGTCGACAACTATTACTTCACCCGGCTCCCGCCGACCTTCCGCCGGGGTCCGCCGGCGGATCCGCCGCCGTTTTACTTCCGCCGCCTTCCGCCGCCCTTCCTTCGTCTTCCGCCTCCACCTCGGAAGAGATGCCAACTCCTTCGATCCGCGAGAGGCCTTTTCTGGAGCGCCCCACACGATGAGCAGCTGGCGCCGCCCCACTCCGCAGCGCGGGCGCGCCGGAGCGCGCTTTTCCGAATGCCCCCGAAGGCGGCCTCCTCCTCCTCCTCCTCCATCTTCCTCCTCCATCTCCCTCCTCCTCCTCCTCCTCCTTCCTTCTCCTCCTCCTCCTCCTCCTCCTCCTCCTCCTCCTCCTCCTCCTCCTCCCTCTGGTAGGTTTGGTGGAACATCGGCCCCTCAATCACGACCCGCTGCCGCGCGTCCCTCGGTGCGGAAGGAGGCGGGCGGCGGCACACCAGGCCGCGCTCGCGGATCCTCCGCGGCTGGCAGGGGCGCAGCGCACGGGTGAGGGCGAAGGGCACGCGTCGGTCGGAAGACGCAGGTGAAATTATCAGGCAGGAAGGTGGAAAATGAGGCTGGTGAGCGCTGCAGCGGGAGCACGATTCGGAGGACGCGCGGCCTGACATGGCATGGCGTGGCGACGCCCCACAAAAGGGGGGGACGCGTAGCCTGACATAGCATGGAAGGCCCAGCTCCTTCGCCGGAAAGGCGCAGGTGAAATCATCAAAAATCAAGTATGGAGTAGAGGAGGCTCAGGCCGTGCAGAAGATGACCGAGCGCAGCAGAAAGGCAGCGACTCCTGAAGCAGGAGAGCGCTCGGAGTAGATACAGATCTGTCAGTGCATGGCCGGCTCCGGAAACCCTGAAATCACAAATGAATTCATCTCTTGGGGGCGCATCGTTTACTTCCGCAACCTTCCGCCGCCCTTCCGCCGGCCTCCGCCGGCGGAGGCGGCCTCGTTTCACCTCCGCCGCCCGTCCGCCGCCTTCCGCGGCGGAAGAGATGGCCACTCCTCCGATCCTGGAAGGCTGCGCCTTTTTGTCAAATCCCACATCTAGGAATGTCTACTTTCAACGACCGGCGTGGACGGCGACGCCCCTGTGCCAGCTGCCCTGTGAGAGCTGCGGTGCGCCACATGGCAACCCGCAGAGCAGGGAGGGGCCAGGCGGGCGTGAGGTGGGCCAAGCTTCAGGTCGGGCATGTCCTCCTGAAGGCAGATTTTGAAGGAAAATGACACATATTCAAAACCGACTCGAAAGTACCAACAAATGATCGAATAGTGGTCCCCAAACAATTTCAGGTGACTATTTTAAAACATTTCTCCAGTAGAGGGACGTACCCGACTTTAGCCCAGCTTCGCGAACAATCCGCGCTCAAGCGGGCCTTGTGGCAGTAGGGAACCTCCCGGCCTCGGAGGAGAGAGGACGAGGAGAAGTAGGACGAGGAGGAGGAGGAGGAGAGGAGGA